TCGGGTCGAGAAGATGACATTGCTCTCCGCCTGGGCGCCGGCACCAAGGGCGTCAGAGAAGAAGGATCCCTCGAAGTTTCGAGAAAACTTCCTTGCGTCGGTGTTGAACTTGTTCTGGAGGAATTCGGAGGCCAGGAGGTCTCGGGCATATTGTTTGCTAGGGTCAGAACTCTCTTGGATGTTGGTCAGGTGGGTCCAGACGAAAGAGCCGACTGCAAATTGAACACCTCATTTTGCACATGCTGAATATTTTTGACAGGAAACGGTACAGGCTGATGAATCCATACCTTGGTTGACTGGTTCGGACTCGAGAGCATCTCTGACAGAGTCAACGACCGAGGTGGTTGGGCATTTCATCAAGGTCAAATAGGCAGCAATCCTGAGTTCAGAGTCCTGCATGGTATCCTTGTAGACCTCAAGAAGTGGTCTCTGGGTTTCGAATTGACAAGGAAGCCTTCTGAAGGCATCCAATGCTGCCACACGTACTTCCATCGGATTCTCCTCCTGATGAGAATCCTCGTTTTTACATCAAAAATCTAGAAGCTGACTATTTCCGGTGAAAATTGATGTTACCTTGGCGCACAAGACGAGTGTGTTAGGGTCAGAGAGCTTGACGCCGGCATTTCCGATGGCCTTGAGAGTGGCCATGATGATGGTCTTGTGTTCCTTGGAGGAAGGGGCCGTCCGCCGAGGGTCCCACCAAAGTTCCGCCGCGGACTACGCTAAGTGACCAAGCCTCCGCAGCGTAAAAGGCCCAAGAAGAGACGTCTTCGCCACCTGGTACCGTCTCTGCGGGTCCTCTCGAAGTTGTCGGACTGGTTCGTCGAGAAGAGGCTATTGGGGGAAAACTGATTATAAGACAGAGGTATTACTAGAAATTTCTTGTTAAGCAAGGTTGATTCTGACCACTGAGGCGGCGATCATGTCTTCGGTGGGTCGGTTGATGAAGGCCAAGGATGTGAGCCAGGAGTCGGCTTCGAGATCGGACATTTTCCCAGTGATGATGAGGTCTCGGACGAGAGAAATGGCCGCTGTCGTGGACAGGTGTCCCAAAGCATCTCTCATGATCTTCCTGTAAAACGTAACGGATTTTTCTGTTCATCGGTCTTCCAGCGGAATCGCTGTCGAAGGTGGATGAAGGGCGCACGAACCTGCTTCTTTCGGTCTTAGCAGCTTCCTCATAGACGTTTCGGAGTTGGTGGACGTCCAAGTCCTGCAGTGTTGCCAGGAGTTGTCCAAACATGGCCGGAGAATCCTTCTGGGCTGAGATCAAGGTGGTTACCTCGAGGTCAGCGATCAGCTGCAGCGCCCGATCCTCCTCTCCTTCGCCTCTTGACTTTTGATCGTGCTCGAACAACAGCGTTGTCTGCTTTCCGATCATGTCTAAAAGAGACGAACGTCGAGTTCACCTTGCCCTTGAGCTTAAAGAAGATGTTTTCGGATTTTCGACCTACCAAATCCAGAATCTTCAGCGGGTCTCTCGGTCTTATAGACAATGGAATGGACTGATGTTGTCTCCACTCGTCCTTCTTCGGTATCCATTGGGTTGAAGACATGGACCTCACGACATGTCGCCTTCTCCAATCTCTGGTTCCGGATCTGCTGCTCGCACTCGTGCGAGCTCCTGCAGAGTACATTTATCGATTACGATCAATATTGTCAGTAAGGGGTCTTTTGGAAATGCCCGAAGCCGTACTTGAGGATTGGGAGGGATCCAAGACGGGAGTGCTGGGTGCTGAGAAGGGGTGCAAGGGGTCGGGGTCGACCCGTGCAGGTGTCGAGTTCCTTCTGCTTGTTGATGGTGATGCTGCCCCAGCTGTTTCCAGTCACTGTGTACTTCGTCTCGCAGTGGCCTGCCACGTCCGTCTGAATCGAGCGAACATTGTATTATCGCACCCGTTACACTTCATGGCGAAGTCCTCGAATGAATGCTCGAATGAATGAATGAATCCTTAATGAAGTAACTATGCATAATTATTCTAATCAAGGCCTTATGTGTGGAGAGTGCTCCAATACATTAGGATATTGTAGCGACAGTGGACCCATAATAGTTTTCCCGGTTTTCATTGAATTTAATTTTATTTTCTTGCGACTTGATTTCTTGCTACTTATAACCTCCTTCCCTTCCCCTCACTATTACTCATGTGAGATCTCTCACTGTGGCCAGAGACATTTCCGTAATTTGTGCTGAGTGAGTTACCTCAGAGACGGTATGTTCTTTGTCCAGTTCCTGCATTGAGTTTTGGAAGAGGGAGACGACGGCTTTCTTGATGTTCAGGACAAGGGAAGAGTCCTGATCGTTGGGGCAGAGAGCCTCCACTTTGCCATCCTGGAAGGCAAATCGCAGCGGTCTCTTCTCCAATTCCCGCTCCAGCTGTTCCCCATTCTCTCCGGAGAGCTGCACGTCCCGCAGCTGTGTAGAGAATCTCAGGGTCAGTCGTCATGCTCAGATGCGCATGCTCTCTAATTTATTAAGGATTTCCCCAAACAGACTAGGGGCAACCCCAGCCCCTAGTCTGTTTGCCCATATCCGGATATACTTGACATTGTTGCCCCAAACGACATTGCCGCAAAAACAGTTATCCCAACCGTGGTTGCCGCGAGTAAGGTCGCCTCTATGAGCTTACCTGAAGAGAGAACTCGCAAGCGGTGATAGCCGTGATTTCAGCCTTGGTCGAAAGATGGATTGGGGGAGAGGTTTCCCCTCCAGCGCTCGATGTCACCTCAGATTCGTAGCCATATACGTATGTCGTTCCCGGGGAGTACTGGAACTTTCCAGTTTCTGGATCAAGACGTAAATATCGTCATGGATAAGTAATTCATGAGTAATGCGCATGAGGCTTTAATCGACGTGTGCGTTGCTTACCTTGGCAGTATGAAGTGCATTGCGTCCTGGATCTGCCAGCCACGGGACCTAAAGTTACATAATGACATCATTATTATCATAAATTTTCCTTCGCAATAGAGATAAGGTTCAACACTCCTCCTAAATGTTGACCCTCTGATAGCCAACTTTTCCTTCTCCCTGCCTTGATAATAGACATTCCATCAATTTTGAGTGGCTGAAGTGCTTGACCTTTATCCCATCCCTTGGGTTTTTGCTTGGACTTTGCTCTTGTTTAGTGTTTATCTTTTTTGTTTCGTTCTCTCTGTTCCTCTCAAGGAAATCTAATCGACGATAATCCATCGTCCACTTTCCGGTCGAACTCCGCTGCGCAATACCCTGTTTCCTCTCTTGGGGGGTGTAAAAAAATTATGTCGAGCTGAAGTCTCGTCTTGCTTTAAAGAACTATGTGACGGAATTTTTTGTTATTGACAAGGTTGTTGAAGATTCTGACGGAGAATTTGCTTTTAGACTTCTTTCACAACTTACAGAAACACTGAACCTGAACTCTTGGGATATGATTTCCTGCTCCGGAAGTTCGACGGGTCAATAAGGCGAATGATGTTTCTAACTCGAGTTTTTCCTGCCATCTCAATGATGAGGGCTGTGGCCAGACTACATGAATGTTTAACTTTCGTTCGTTCGCTTGCCACCAAACTGCTTTTGAAACAACAGTCCACAGAGGATGGTGCTATTGGGGTATTGACTTCTAGTTTACATATAAGTCGCAGATGTAATGGCTGCTCAAGAGTTCCATCAGACTTTACCCAAATATTCCCACACCCGCAGGATATCTGCTTTTCTATCATTTGTAAGAGATTCCCCATCTTAGAGAAGCAAATACCTTTTAATATTTTCCCGAATGTTATCCCTCCAGGCTTCTAATAAAGGGCAATCATGGACAGGATGAACATGAGTCCTACCTACGAAATGAGCAAACCCGTGGCACGAAACTGCCAATCTCAAAATTTCCTAAGCCATACTGCAGTCCCTGTGTCCTTAATTTGAAGATGACGTTGCATATACGGATTGTATAGATAATATCTATTGGCTGGATCCCGGGTGCACCTCATCCAACCTGTTAAGATGCCAGTGGATGAAGGCAATCCACAGTGTTTCCTGAAATTTTCAGTCTTGCTTGATAATTCAGTTTTGACCTAAGTTCACGTTCTTCAATGGTGGACCAGCCCTCTTCTCGTTTGATGATAACGTACATTTCGGCCACTCTTGCAGATGAATCTCCTCTTATTATTCTGGCCTTGAATAATTCAGCTGCACACCACACGAGATATTCAGATTCATGCATAATTTGGGGTACCATAATGCGCGCCATCAGCAGCATGGATGTTTGTGTACCCATACCCATATCCATACCCTTACGAACAATCCACACATGTGGACAGCTCTAAGTCCGCCAGGAGGATTTGGGTGAATCCACATGTGGATCACTTGTGGATTAGGAGGATCCACATAGAGTCCACCCAGGGATATTTTTCGTAAGGGTAATATACAGTGCATCTATCAACTACCTTGTTTCTGTCTCACCTAATTCCATGAACTCAGCACGAAAACGTATTACATACAGTACGTATTAGTACAGTATGTATGTCTTATATACAGAAGATTGAGGCACTTATACGAAAGCAGAATAGTTGCTACCGTAACTATTGATACCCTATAATTTCCTTTTCATCTCCATCCTGTCGCCGAGAAAATGATGGCTCAGATAGTATGCTGATATGGGCTGAATGCTGGATCCCCGGAGAACGTTTTTTTTTTTCATTCTATGTCTATTGTGAGAGTTGGCCCAATTTCAAAACTCCGGTAGTGCTTGGCAGAGGCAGATGAAAAAAATGATATTTTTTTCCCTCTTTCATGTCTTTGGGGAATCCTGGCCAGTCCCATGAGGACTGGGACCAACCAGGACAAATTGTCGTGATTTGTCCTCGGAATAATATATCAGAATTTGGTTGAGGTAATGGATCGCGAAAGAGAACAATGGATCTTGATGATCCCACAAAGATGGAACTCGGTCAGTTCCGTTTCTCTCCGAGGTGACATTACGGGTGCGATTATATCGATTCAAAGTCAGTTCTTTGACTGAGTCCAGTGATAGCAACAGGCGGACCTGAGTTGAGACATTGTGAAATATGGATACCGTTTTGAATATGGAAATAGCGAAAGAATGACTGACCTGCGTAGGCGCCGGTGACTGTCAAGATCACAAGCACGAAGAGAATTTGCTTGTGCATTGGTGGCTCACTCAGCAGGGCGAGTCTAGCCACAAAAAACACAGGCTGATGTGGGTTTCCGTAAAACGGTAAAGTGTTCCACCTCTCGTGCTCCTTATATACCCCTTGATTGCAACACGGACTCTTCAGTTTATCGAAGTACTTTGAGTGCTCCCAGGGTTGCCTGATCCCCGAGGGGATTTCCTCAAAATTCTCCTGTTCCATTCTCGGATATCGCCTCAACTGCATACATTATTTGAATGTAACATTTATGCTCGCATGTCAGCTGACTTCAACATTTTCATGAGAAAAGTTCAGGCAGGTAAAATGTGCAGAAACCGAAACGCAGATCGGGCATCAGTGTCAATGCATTTGAGAACATTCCGTGGACTTCGATGTGACACAGAGTGTTGCAAGGAACAAGGGATATCCTTAATACGTCATTCTGGGATACTCCTCCTTCCAAAGTCCACTTTGGAGAAGAATCCTCTGCACTCGAGTCTGTTGCTATGCCTTTGCGATTCAAAGAGGACGAGACGACAAAAGTTCAAACAAAGTTTGCAGTCGAGTTCCCGGATAGCCGCTAAAGATTCAAGAGATTGCTCACATTGCTGCTCTGGTTTACAGGTGAAATGAAGTTGCTGATCATATTTAAGAAGCAAAAGTTGGATTTGTAAAGGTGACCGAGCGAAATAAGAGGGATTCGGGGTAAGTACGAGATCACTGAAGCGGGTAATCAGGTCGACGGGTAATCAGATCGATCTGCCCCCCGCCCCTCGATGGTATTCTGATTCGCGTCTTGAAGGAACTCGGGAGGGATGTAGCGACTCGATTGAGATTCATCTTCGAAAGTAATATTTGCTCGGTGAAGCGCCTAAGGATTGGAAATGAGCGGATGTCGTGCCGATCTTTCAGAAGGGAGATGAGAGCCATCCGGAAAATTACAGGCCAGTGAATCTCACGAGCATTCCTGGAAAGATCATAGAAAGCATTCTGAGACTGGATCATGGAGAATCATGAGGGAAGCTCAGCCATCTGGGAATATCAGCACGGGCTTTAGGAGGCGATATTGCCCAATTTGCTCGAATTCTACGATTCGGTGGTGGGCTAGTTTGACAGAAGGAATCCGGTGGACCTAGTTTACCTAGACATTCCGAAGGCTTTCGATATTCGCTTTCGAAAAGGTTTCGAGTTAAATTAGAAGCGCACGGAATCGAAGTAGGGTGTGTACTAGGTATATGAAAGCGAAACTGGCTGTCGGGAAGAGAGCAGAGAATAAATATTAATGGAGAAGTGCCAAAGTATTAATACCTGTAGTAGGAGTCACGAGCGCAATCCCCCAGGGTTGGTTCCTGGAACTGTTTCTATCCGTAATTTATATTAGCGATTTAGATCACGAATACAGTCGACAAATTTGCCGACGCTTAGAAACTAGCTTTCTCCATCGGGGGGGGGGGGGATGACAGGGCGAGAGTTGAGACGGATTTACAGTTCTTGGACGAGTGGAGTAAAATATAATTCATGAAGTTCAATTAGAATACATGTAAGGTCCTTCGCATCGGTAACAATAACGATCGATTCATGAACGCGTTTGGCGAGCTGGAAGAGGCACACAGATTGAGAGACTTAGCGATCGCGATTTCACTCATTTCTCTCACGCGCAGGCGACTATTGCCATATGTAATTGGATATTAGGCTTCATTCGGCATTCCATTGCCAATTATAGCCTGCGCGTTATTCTCCCGTTGCTCAGGTGAGAACCCCGTTGATAGCATTGCGTTCTATTCTGGCAAACAACGAGCATGAGAAAATAGGCCCTAGGAATTTAATACCAGAAGCATTACGAAGCATGGGGACTCTTCTCGCTCGAGAGAAGGCAAAAAAGGTGGACCTCAATCTGCATTTTAATTTCAATCGATAACGTGGAGCGTGATAGATTCTTCAACTCGATGGTTGCAGCAGAACGAGAAGAAACCGGATCAAGCGGCACAAACCCAAAGCGAGTGAGCGACTCATGTCACCTCATGTCATGGTTGGGGAATGACTTCGTTACTTGCAGGCAGTTGACGCCTGGAAGCGTTCAAGGACGATGCAGTGACTAGCATTAGGAAGGGGCTTGATGCCTTCATGGAAAAAAAGCGGTATTGTGGGGTGACTAGGTAACATGTGGATATTCTACCACAAAAATAATTATAATTAATAATAAATAGAGGCTAAGCTCGTGCAAGAATGCCCGACCTTGACACGTGACACGTTATATGCGAAAGTGCCTCTTGACGTTCATATTCGAACCTTGAATCTTGAACCTCGAACCCACTCATTCCCCAGATATCCGACTGGGACACCAGATATGGGGAGGAAATAGAATCCGAGTACTTGTTGCTCCCAACCACACATTAAGTCTTGTAAACTTTTTTTCCCCCCAAGCCTTGCTTTCCTTATGGTTACGTTTTATGGTCATAATGCTAGCGATATTCCTAGTGAGAAGTGAAAGAAGTTTTCGAACAATTTTTCCAGAACCAAGGAAATTGATTTGAAATGACGGCAGTGCCGGAACCTCCGCCTCGCCTGCCGTGGAATTTTCTGAAAATGTTTCGCATATTTTCCCATAAAATGCACCCTCGAATGCAAAAGGTTCCTTCGCGCTCCCCAGGTGTCTGCTTCCCATGGACACGAAAAAATGAAGACGTCTCGCATGTGTATAACCAAAAAACTGAGGTTAAGAACTAGATGGCTGTTGTAGGCCGAGAGGACCAAATGCCACGCTGCGATGTGACAATTAATGAAAATGAATGCTTATAAATCTGATAGTGTAACCCACTGAGACGAAAGCAACTATTTTTTGTGTGTTCCAGTGTTAAAAGAGGAAAAGAGTAATAAATCAGCATAGAAGCAAAAAAAAAAAAAACTCCTGAACCCCTGCTAAGAGACGCCGAATCCCTTACTTTTTGCACGGAAAACTTCTTCACATCTTTCCCATGTCGAGAGGAAAATCGAATCCTGTTCCATGTCCGCATCGAGTCATTCATAATTTACCTATTCATTTTCAACGCCGCACATCCCAACCTTCATGAAGTTCAAACCGGTAGAACAACGACTGTTCCTGATCCAGGGCAACGGGCTCAGGCTCAGCAGGTAGAATACCGAGCCCATTATGGCAAAGCCTCCTGATATAGGATATGTTCACATCGCTTCTTTAAGTGCTAAGGGCCCCTTGAAGGATGCAAATTGGGGATCCCCTAGGCATGCCGTATTTACATTTCTCGCTCATCCTATGTCCATCTCAAGTAGAAGTTAGAAGTCAATGGAGTTTCTGGTCTCCCTTGGCTGATTCCTGCAAATTCATGGCACTTTCTCCTGCAGCATCCCCTCTTTGTGCATTCGCTTTTGGCTATCGAGGGAATTCCTCCGAAATTCAAATGCTGTTGGACATCATCAGTCCATTCACCGTATGCTCGTCCCACCACATCGATCGGAGACCGCTAACCACTGTTTCAATGGCACCTCATCCCATGAACTCAACCCAGAATTGTATCATGCATGAAAAAAAAAAAACAGAACCCTGGCACCGATACGAAAGCAGAAGCAGTCATGAATCTAACGTAACTCCAGCATGATATCCGGCAGCCGTGGGGGACGACAATGGAACCTGAATGATAAACCTGAATGAACGAGAGAACCATTTCATAGCGAACCATTTCGCAATGAGAAATTTCATATTTCATTTCTCATAGCGAAATGGTATATCGCAAGCAACCAAAGGTCACTTATCGTGATCTACAAGTCAATATCTTCCGTTTTGCTGGGTTATCTCCTCCGAAACCCCCCAGGAGTTGCTACCCGAGTGGAGGGGAGGAAAAAAAAAGAGCGGAATGATATTTGCATCTTCAAAAAGCAAGATTCAGTGTTCGCAACTCTGGGGAATGGAGCTTAAAATTTGCTGGAGCGATGTTGTGTTGAGAGGAGGATGAAGAGAGGAAAGAAGCACGCCCAAATTTGTTCCTCCGTTGATTTGGTTGAGAGATAAAGGAGATATCCTTTGCTGGCCACCTTTGCTTGCATATACAGGTACATGGGAACTCCTGGAACTTCCGCCCCATGTGAGCAACTCTTCTCAAGATCAGGATTCCTTGCAAAAAAAAGTGTCATGCATACCTTGTGACGGAGAACGCCAATAAATTTTCCTATATTGCTGTGAACCGCGATCTACTGCGTAGTAGAGCATTGAAGTGCCTTCATTATATGTTTCAGTCCTGAATTATGGATAAGACATGGAAAAAATATTTAATGTACTTTTTGGGCATGAAGAAGGCTTGTGTACCATAAAAATGCTTTTAAAGTGGTTTCCTCAAGTAAAATTAAATATTTCAATTATTTAAGAAATTAAGTAATTTAATAAAATCATGCTATTTAATTAATTCAGCTGGTATTCATATCCCTATTTTACGTCGCATTTTCCCCAGTATTACTGTACTAATTTCCATTATCTAACTTGCAAAGACATTTAAAAATTGACCGGAAAATAAATATCTCAGCTGAAATAAATATTAACGATGACATCATTTTTGAAGGGCCAGAGGAAATACAGCAGCATTATATTAATGTGGACTGCTGTCAACTTGACAACGTGTGGTTAAATACCATAAACAGGGACACAAAATCCCGCCATGGCCGTGCATTCCTATGTAGCCCTATAACATATGCGAAGAAAATGAGTCACGCCAGGACTGAAAGGGTTAAAAATACATTACCTTGATAGAGGGCTTTTGTCCCGAAATAGATGTGTTTTCATACTATCCTCTCTCGTCGAACCCGGCGATATCGAGATATCAAGCGATATATGAGTCGACAATATCGATACATGAAAAACCCATATCGCCCAGTCCTAATTTCAACCAATCAACTTTCCATACTGCAGTTATATTCACAATACTTGCTTAATGCAAAAGCTATGTTCACAGGAGATGTGAAAATTCATTGCGTCAAGGAAAAGCTTGAAGCAATCAATAAAACTTGATAAAGTCGGAGAGTGAAAAATGACAGGGCCCTTGCTGGTGGAGCGAAAAAAAAAACATGTATGTGCTGTGGTACCATTTCCTGCAAGCCCAAATCGAACAACTTTTCATTAAAAGAGAATCGGCTTGCATTCATGGTCGATGATTTTAATGACTCCTTTTCCAAATAATAACCGAATAAAAATCAATTTGCTCTGAGTTTCTTTAGGCTTTCCCCTTGTTCGAAGGAAAGTG